ACGAGGAGTGGCCGAGAAGAAGAAGAGCAAATTGGTGCTCCCGGTAGCAGGGGCCCATGAACACCATGGAGGAGAAGCTGCGTAGCATGACGAAACGCGCCAGCAGACACGGTCCGCGTGGAACGGGGCCAGTTGCCTCCGATTGGTCGGCCGGCTCTGGGTCCGCTAGTGGAGCCAGGGGCCCGGCCCCAGCTACTCCTTCCACTTCTCAGGCTGGCGGTTCTACGTTCAACCGGCCCCAGGAGACGACGGGTCCGACCAGGCGGCAGTCCTCGCGCGACAGCATCGACTCGACCAGCCAACAGGCCCCACCCGAACACGGCGAGCTCCTTTTCAAGGTCCTGCCCTCTCTCCTGATACTATAGCGAACCGGTTCTTCTACGAGAAAGAGACAATCGATGGAACAGGGTTGCCTTTTGCGGTTCGATCGAACTTGGGCATGGACGCTTTAAGCTGTTGACGGTTTAGAGTCTTTAGACTTTAGGGCTTAGGCTATGATTATAGTGGATGCGTACTTTGAAGATTCGCTTTAGCGTATTTAGACCAAGCAAGCGAATGCTTTTGTAAAATTTAGTAAAATAAAAATACAAGAGAACATTTGTTCGCTGAATCAAAAATCGAACATCCGAGTGCCTTAAGAGTGCTGCGAAAATGTTCGATTGTTGTAAATTAGTTTACGAACAATTGTCAGAGTTTGTCAGAGGGCCAATTCGCCAAAGTGAATTTACGTCCACTGCAATCACAGCCTTATGAGGGAGGAATTTCAGATCCATGCAATATATGTATGATTTATTACAATGTTATAAATACACAGCTTTCGTGGACAGAGAGTTATCGTACACGTTAAAACGCGGTCTTTGGTGTTGCAAAATTGAATTTTGTTAGTAGTATTATGAAATGTTGCTTAAGAAGGCCGAAAAACTAAAATTAATCGATGCATTGTTATCTTCATTTAAATACTATTGCAAATTTGCTCTCTTACGAAATCGTAGAATCTAGAATACATATACGTAATAATAAATAATAAATCCAATATTGTGTCGGGATGTAAAAATTACAAGCTGACAGAAATACCTTATAAACAGACTGTTTAATTGTCTTATTTAATTAATTATTTATTTATTTAATTCTTCTATAGAGAATTGGCGAGACTCGGAGATTTTGATAATTTACAAACGGTGTTTCAATTAGTTTTCGATCAATAATCAAATTTCTCCGTTTCCAAGCGCATCAACAAACTATGGAAAGACTAAAAACCGCAGTAATTCGATCAGCAAAAACGAACTTTTCCAATCAGAGTTGTGCTTCTAACTTCTACGTTCAGAATAGAACTTTTCGCAATCACTATCTTTTTAGCAGCGCAATTTTCCGAAAGAGCAATTTCCTAATTTCAAGCTTACAATTTGAGTTTCTCTTTAAAAGGAAACTTAATTTCAGGATTACTTTGACAGCGGCCAGTAGCCATGTTCTAAAATTCATGACGAACCAACCCCATTTCTAATACTTGTTCGTGGCTACTACTAATTTTACCACTTCTTATCACGTAACCTTTTACACGCTAATTCAGGCATAACGCAAATAGTACACATTTTTCCAGCGTAATTTACGACTGATAGGGAACGATGATTTGCGGTTATTAATCTCTGTTAGATGGTTCATCGGTATGTTCAGAATACTTTGCGTTCGGTTCAATCGTAGATCAATCTCAATCTGTCGACCATGATATCGCTGGAATCTAGTTAATTACACATTTCTGCGCTTACTGAGTTTTCTACAAATAAGATAACTATACGAATGCGTTTGGACACGGACTCGTTGCGTGATACACTTCGATCTGATTAACTGGTTTTCGTTAAATAGTTTCATTGGAATTAATAACTAAAAATACCTCTTTTTTATCTTCTGCTGTATTTCCTTTTACCATAAAGAAATAAACATGAATATGATATTTAAAATTGATTGAGAAGGTTAGGTAAACTATTTCGTTCTTCTGTGTTTTCTTTTCTATTACAGAATATCAGTGGTAAACGTATAAATCGTGGAATGTTTTCCCGTGAACTCAATTAAATGCATTGCAGAGAAGTTTTATTTCCAATTCTTTTTATAATAAATCCCTTCTATCTTTCTTTTTTTTTCAAATAGATTTTTATATAATTCTAGGTTTTAAAAGTACAACTACTTTTAAATACTGTAAACGTAGAATAGCTTTCGAATATTTTGCAAAGAGTTTCCTTCTACGGTATTTTCACAGAAAATTTTCACGTAACATAGGTGATGCTACTTGGTGACAGTGGCGTCGGGAAAACCTGCCTCCTAACACGATTTAGAGATGGCAGATTCCTGTCTGGCAACTATATAACCACCGTGGGCATTGATTTTAGGGTGAGATATTCTAAATTCTTCCTAGAAGTGCCACAAACAAAAATGAATTCATTTTAAAATACGAAGAAACAATTTACTAAGAAAAACCAAGTGACTGTTACAATGTTAATGTAGGTGA